TGGGACAAACCCTAGCGATTGAACTTCAGTAACCTTCTCGTCATCATCCCTCCAGCTAGTCGCACAGAATGAATCACAAAAGTCAATCAGTTCTCAACTGTGCACAGTGAGTTGAGGTAGGCCCCACTGAAAGTGATACCACACCATTAAAAGTGAATCTACATCCGTTGCAAAACGCAACAGTGCCGGGAGGTGATTGAAAAGCAATCCAGGGAAAACCTCTCCTGGAGCCGTGGAGTCCTGTAGCTCAGGGGTCAGAGCACTCGCCTCGCAAGTGAGAGCACTTGGTTTCGATTCCCAGGAAGGGCGAAACATTGGCAAGTTTCCTTACTCCACACACACACACACACACACACACACACGAGTGAAGGTTTTAGTGGAGCTTAAACACCGGAATGGACGAATTTAGCCAAATAGACTGTTTGTTGCCATAGATTGGTTGCTGTAGTCTGCTGTAAGCAACTGGCTTCCTAGTTTCTCCCACAAAATACACCGTCAATACAATTTACAATATTTTCTGTGAATTGAGTGAGTGACAACCCCGGGAAAGCGATCCACCAACAACTGGGTACCTACTTACTGAGGCGCGCGCGCGCGTGTGTGTGGAGTGAGGAAACTTGCCCAAGGTTCCAACCTGCCAGGGAATCAAACCCAGTTCCTCTCGCTTGCCATAAAATAATAATAATAATAATAGCACATTTAGTATAGCACCTTCCACATCGGGATGATTTCACTGTAAAGTGCAGTGATGGCGTGTTTTTGTAGACGGCAGAATTAAATGTAGGCCAGACTGGAGTGAAAACTACAGACTACTGGTAAGGAAATTGGCAAAGTGGGAGCCGCCAACAATGGTAGAAATGACTCGTCGTGTGATAGCTGTGTGTGGTGGGGAAGGGGGTGTTGTGTACGTGTGTGTGTGTGTGGGGGGGGGGGGGTGTTGTCGGATTGATTAAGCAGAGGCAGAACGATGTGAACTGTCTCAGCCCCGGGTCAGACGACAGGAAACCACAGCTGTCACACACGTGGATTCCGGCTGCTAAAAATAACTGATGGGAAAAAATTCTTACCATTCATTACATACCTGTGATTACGTGTGAGACGCGCTCATTTGTGTCTGTGTGTGTCTGTGTGTGGGGAGGGGCGGGAGGGCAAAACTGTACTGTAAGGAACAAGAAAGAAAAAAAAATAAAGATTTTTAAAATTTGTCTCAGATCATCTCAAATGCTTTACGGTGACTGCTGTCTGTCCTGTGTTATTTTACTCCATAAAAATAAAAAATGATAATCCTTTCATTTGATTTAGATTAATCATGCCTTATCATGATTCACATACAGCAGAAAGTGTTGATTCTTGCAAAAGCAAACCTTGGGGGTACAGTATATAGTTTGGGACATGACATCTGTGTGCAAGCAATTGCCAGGAAGGTGGAAGGTGAACTGGATGGACCTCGGTCTTCTTTGGTCTAGTAATTCTTATGCTCTTATGGAGTATGGACATCTGAACGTCAACAGAAACCACTGTGTAGGAAATCTTACGGCTTTAAAACACTGAGCAGTGAGAGGTGGCTTCATTCAGATATTTATAAATGGGGCCAAATTTGCTGAAAACCTCCGACCACAGAGACATCACATCAACACCATGCCTCACTGCACCAACTGAAACTGCCTCACAAAAAAAAGGTTCAGTTCTTAAACTGCATCGAACGTCTCTCTCTCTCTCTGCTCTGACATGTCCTGTTTCCCCCCCAAGAACACCAGGCATGTGATGATATCACACACACTCTGAAGGTGCAGTTAGAGCAGACAGCATTATACATCAATAATAATAATCCTTGCATTTAATGCAGCGCCTCATCGCGTCTTCAAGACGTCTCAAAGGATGTACTGTAAAGTGTAGTGACTCTGTTTTGTGCGCACATCTATATTATACGAGACTCTCAACAACGGGATAAGGCGTTGTATCAAGCGCAAGGATTTTTATTATTATCACACACTCCCCTCCGCCACTAAGTGAACAAGCCAAGGTTTTTGACATACACGGTGACACCGGGTTCCTGATCACTAACGCAGTGCTTAAGGGGCTGCAGATTAGTATCTTTACAGCTTCTTGCAGGTTTCCTGTGTCAGTTATAGGTACAGGTTGCGAGGCCGTGGCCAGTATAAAAATGTAAGCGTTTAATTTCCTGTGAGCCGTGCCACAGATTGACAGGACGATTGTTGTCATGGCTGGAAATCGGGTCTGGAACCACGCCTAAAAAAGCCACCAGAAAACTGATGAAATCCTTTACCCTGACAGTCTCTCCTCATCACAGACCCAAGCTGAGAGCCTCTGAGAGATGAAGGCTATTATTCACACACACATACGCACGCACATACGCATACACGCACGCACACACCCGCTCATGCACGCGCAGATTCATACACACACACTCTGTTCCACCATTCTATACGATCATGGCTGATCTGTACCTGAATTCCAATCACCCACCTTTGCCTCATATCCCTTGATCCCCTGACCTAACAAACATCTCTCAACCTCAAAAATGTTGAATGGATACAGCCATAATCCACAGCCTTTTGGGAGAGGGAGAGAGAGAAAGTTCCTGATTTCCACTAGCCTTTTTGTGTGTGAAAAACTGCCTCCTGATTTCACTCCTAAATGGCCTGGCTCTAATTTTAAGATGATGCTCCCCCTGTTCTGGATTTCCCCACCCACCAGAAGAAATAGTTTACTCTCTGTAGTTACCCTATCAAATCTCTTTAGTATTCTAAAAAATCTCAATTAGATCAGCTCTCAGCCTTCTGAACTCAAACGTCACCCATCCCCTCCCGACCTCTAACCACGCATGCGGTGGAGATACTTTCAGTATCGCGATCAGTCACTGTAGCTGACCACTGACCAGAGGACATTGTCACAGCGGGTGTCTGACACACACGGAAACCCATCACCGTTGCTTAAGAGTATCCAAACCAAACTGAGAATTCCACATGGAATTCATCTCCCGTCTACACATGGAAATCCCAGAGATAGATTTTTGGAATGGAACGTGCTCTCTCTCTCTCTCTCCCCCTGGAGGGACACATCTGCTTACCTAATTCTGGAAAGCAGGTTGACAAGAGCCAAAGCTTGGGGGGACCCCAGAGTGTGCGTTGGGGTAACTGCTGGAGTCTAACCAGCTAAAACCGCATAATTTACCTTTGATAGCTTTCCGTGGCCAAACATGCACCTTGGACCAGTTCAGCTCCGAGGAGACCCCATTTATATCCCCCTCCCAACCAAGGAAGATAGAGAATACAGGATACATGCGTTACATCAATATATAATAAAATCCAAAATGATATAGGAAGCGACAAGTTATTTCAGGGAAAAATAGCAAAGGTTAAAGCTGTTCAATGGGGTTTGGCTGTGAGGGCGACAGTATTTAACACCAGAAGCAACAGTGGGTAATATTTTCTCCTCTAGTTGTCATGTGGGGGTTTAGCTCACAGATGGGAGTGCGTTATTGGTGCTGAACAAACAAACCGAAAGGGTGAAGTGGCCAATTCCCGGAAACAGATGGCTACAAGGAAACTGCGCCACACAGTGTACATCTGACAACTAAAACTCCCATCAAATCGAATCACCAAAATGCCAAATTACTTCCAGCGAAAGACTCTGGTTCCAGTGTCATCAGATCAAAGCAGATCTCGCCAACCCCCAAACAATCGTTAAACATTAACCCGTTGCTGCAAGTCAACAGTCAACAACAGCCCAAGTTTAGACAGTGCCTCTCAAGTGAAAGAAGGGCTTCAAAATAAAAACATGGATATTACACCGGGGCTGACCAGCATGTGGGGTGACATCTGAGCACTTCACAAAGACAGAATCAGTGGGGAAGGCGGAGAGGTACAGGGGGCGCACACTCGCACAAAATCTGCCTTAGCTTTTAAGTCTTTCTGGGTTTTCAAACCACGATAACCTGAGGAGGGACAGTTTACCTTCTACAGTAAAATACAAAAAAAGTTAATATTTCATTGGAATTAAATGCCATTGAAAATAATGACATAATCCTCTCCATCTTGAACCTTTCGAGGCTGTGTGTTGTAATCTGGCTGGAATAAACCAATCTTTTTGGTTCTGTTCCTCACAGACGTACAAACTGTATCCTCGCACAGAGTAGCTCTTTGTCAGATCACATTTAATGTTGGAGGCCAAATGTAGGATAAATGATGCTCTTATATAATATTAAGAAGAAGTGTGTTTACTGCAGAAAGCCTGAAACTGAAACTGTGAAGATTACATTTCATTTTCTACACAGAGACAAGGTGCTCCTGGTGCTCTCAAAGGGATTAATGCTTTACCAGCTGAGATTCAAGGGACAAAATTTCCAACACTCTTCAATGCAGTCTTTTATTTATCTATCTAAAAGAGGGTTAGACAGATGCTGCAGTGCACAAAACAGTTCTGAAATGTGTCTGGATCATTTCCCTCTTGTCCACCCAAATCTTACACCATCTGTTCACCGCTCAGAAGCTCTAACATTCATCAGAGAGTCTTTCTACATAGAACGGTTTCAATCAGTCAATCTATAAAGGGATCTTGTTACAATGATTTGATATAATCTCTGCATCGTAATCAATGGCATTATTAATAATAACTCTTGCCTCTATTATAGCGCCTTATCACATCTTCGAGACATCTAAAAAGCCCTCCACGGAACATACTGTGAAGTGTAGTGAACTGTATATTTTGTGTGCCAATTAAGCACAGCAGCGTCCCACAAACGGGTGTTGGAATGACAACGTGATAGCAATGACCCGCAAACAGCCACAAAATGAACGACCGATTTTATTCGGGGGGGGATTGTTGGCCAGGAAAACGAAACTCCCTTACGGATCCATTAGGAGGGATCTGTAACACCCACGTGGACAGGCAGACGGGACCCCAGTTCAATGTCTCAACAACAGTAATACGGCCACAACACGACAAGACCAGAATCGACGTTAATAAACATTACTCACAATTGCCCCAATGGCGCATCATCTTGGGAATCCCGACTCACAGCGCCGCATAGTGGTAGAGAAGCACTCTGCACCCTTGCGGCGGTTGAGCCAACGTTGGGTCAATGTTCACACGGTGTCCAGCAGATTAAGCTATTGATGGAGACGATGCCATTCATCGTGCGAGAGCCTGGTCATGGATTGCAGGTGATGAGACTATGTGATCGCAAGACACGCGAGTGACTGACGTCTGGAAAAGAGAAGCGATGGAGAGCGTGAATGAGAGAGACAGAGAGAGAGAGAGCGAGAGAAACCTTATAATAATAATCATCCTGGCATTTGATACAGCGCCTCATCGCGTCGCTGAGACGTCTCAAAGCGCTTCACGGGGTGCACTGTAAAGTGGAGTGATCATGTATTTTGTGGGTGAGACGCAGCAGCCAATTGCGCACTGCAGGGTCCCACAAACAGTCGTGGATTGAGTGACCGCATTTTTTTTGGGAAGGGAACTATAAAAAGCGATCCACCAAACGACTAACAACCACGTTCCTACTCACTGTTGAGTAAACGGAGAGCCGACAGAGAGAAGAGCTTCAGGAAACAGCGCAAAGACACCGCAGAGCGAGAGAGAGCGAGAAAGAGAGGGAGAGGGAAACAGTGCCACCCGAAGACTGGAGATGCGGAATGACGACGGTTGTGCCAACGGTTGAAAGCTGGTCCCTCGCTTGCTCGCGCTCTCCACTCACCCTGGAAGGCGAGCTCACTCCTGCCTACTCTGCTGTTGGAATTCTGCAGCCCTGCAACGACAATGAATACATAATTATAATAATAATAGTAATCCTTGCATTTGACACAGCGCCTTATCCTGTCTTCGAGACGTCTCAAATCGCTTCACAGAATACACTGCGAAGTGAATCGACTACATTTTGTGGGCGAATTAATCCTTCTATCCCTTTTTATATACCGTATCCAAACCATTGATTGCCGCACTTTAAGCGCAAACTCTAAAGAAGATCTGAAAGGCAGTTTGTTTAAAATCTGCCCACGTAAAGGATTCCATATCCATCACAAGGTGTTGTTCAGTGATCTGAAAATCCGACACCTCAGGTGTGTACAATGCTGGCAAGTCTTGCGCAGCGAGCAGTAACCCGCCTTCAACCTTGCAGGGGAGTAAATGAAACCACTTTAAACGCCATCTGGTTTCACATGTTTTCCATAAAGCTCAGTAACTCCATGCAGCCTCAATCGCCCATCTGCTTTATTACAGCAACCCCCCCCCCACCCACAGCCAATAGGAACCCTCTCCCTACCCCCACTCCCTCCCTGTACAACAATAAAGACATTGCATCTGTTAAAGTGTTCAATGCAACAGGCCCGCCAAGCCCAAATACACTGTAATTATTATTGATTGCTACACAGTCAAGCTCTGGACAGCAAAGTATGCATTGCTTCCTTTATATAACCATTTCTATGCTGTGCAAGTCTGGCTTGAGAGGGCCCATCCCATTTTTTTTCCTACCCAGAGAGTTTCCTACCCATCTGGATCGCACCACCTGAAAGAGTAGTGGAAAGGGAATTGGGAATGTACTTGAAAAGGAAAAATATGCAGGGCTATGGGGTGAGAGGGGGGAGTGGGACTAGTTTCGCCCACAAATATACAGTCAATTCACTTTACAGTATGTTCCGTGAAGCGCGTGGGACGTGAACAGCGCTATATCAAACGCAAGGATTATTATCCCTTAGAGTTGGCAGCTCTTTCAAAGAGTGGGCACAGGCACGATGGGCCGAATGGCCTCCTTCTGTGCTGTAAGATTCCATGATTCGACAATAGAGAGAAAAAGAGGCGAGAGAGAGAGAGAGAGAGGAAACTGAGTGTAGCACAATCATGGAGCGCGTGCTCACCAGCCTCGTTTGGCTGCATTAATATTTATGACTAAATTATTTCCTCTGTGCAGCACACAGCAGCAATCATCTTAGACGCAGCCTGCAGGTTACTATGGCAGCTAGTTTGTGCGATGCTCTACTCAGCCACAGAGCAACTGAATCAACTCGCAAATAGCGATGAAGAGGCTAGAAGGTAGCTTCAACAACAGATTAAATATCATCAGGAATCAGGGAAGCAAATGCTCACAGGGTCCACATCAACTTGGGTTGATACCAGCTCCTGTCACATAGGACCAACTATTGCCTCGAAGCAACGTTGCCCATAAAACACACAGTCAATCAATCCACTTTTTGTAATACAATCTGTCAAGCGCTTGGAGATGTCTCAACGACTTGATAAGGTGTTATGTCAAATGCAAGAATTATTATTATTATTATTAATTTACAAAAGACAACAGTGGTCAACTAAACCGGGAGGGAAAGCTTAAGGGCGATGAGGGCGCCTTCGACCATACATTTAGTCAGGTTAAGTGGTTAAAATGAAGTCAGATAAGATGCACTGTTAATTACCAGCAAATCACTTCTCGATGAATTCACAGCAATCAGTGAACCTTCACTGTGGGAATGTGGGCAAGAGTCAGTGACACTGACTTACTGTCCTGATCGTCCCTCAACACCTGCTTTGTCAGCCACGAGAGAAGCCACGACTGAACAAAACCCCGCGGGGTCAATTTGAACTGTGCCGTTTATATCTACAAAGCAACCCGCGGCCCGGTGGTTGGGAGGGTGTGTGTATGTGTGTGGAAACTCTGGATTGCTCTTCCTCAATCCCTCCGCCTTGCCCCCTCCTTCCCTCCGCACCTTCAAATCCCGCCTAAAGATCTTTTTTTGATCGTGCTTATGGTCACCTCCCCCGTCCCCATCTCTCGTTGTCAGACTCCGCCACTGCCAAGGACGCTACCCCTTGTGACGGGTGCTATATAAATGCAAGTTGTTGTTGTCTGTGTGTGTCTCCTACAGCGTTGCTCTCCCACCCAACAGTAGCGCTGACATCAGGTACTCATTCTCTCCCCCACCATCTGCTCCCAAACTCATCATTCCAGGGTCTAGGGACGGTCCTGACAGTCCCCCACCCTAAGTGCCTCTCCTCCCACAGTCAGTCCGTCCTGAATTCATCACCAATTGTAAGGATGCAGAACAACTTTGACCTGAAACACACTCGCCAAGCTGCCGCTGCAGCAAATCCAATACAACAAGTGTGTTAATGAACAGTTTCTGAAGTCACTGAAATGTAAGTGCAGAAACTGGACAAGTTTAGAATATAACTAGGGCAGCGTATATGGAAACTAGATGATTGACTAAACATTAGAGTACTTTAAGCCATTAAAGCCTGGCACGGTGCTCGCACCCTCGCCTCGGAATTAGAAAGTTGTGGGTTCAAACCCCACATCAGGACTTGAAGTCCCATAGACTGAGCTGACACTCCAATGCAATGCTGGGGTGGGGGGGTGGGGGGAGGGTGTTGCATTGTCAGAAGTGCTGTCCTTCAGTTGAGATGTTTAACCCCGGTTCCGTCTGCCTGTTCAGGCATTGTTCGAAAAGAGAAGGGAGATTTTTTCTCCCGGTGTCCTGGCCAAGAACCCTCCCCAAATGAAAAATTGGTCACCCCATCTCCATGGCTCTTTGTGGGACACAGTTGTGTGCATATTGGCTGCCGCACTTCACCCACAGAATAACGTCACTTCACCATAGATCCTGTGAAGGATACCGCTTGTCAAATGCAAAGATCATTATTTTTATTATCTTGGTTATTATGCACCAGAGCGCCCAGGAGGGGGAAAAAAAGACATCCTGGATAAATGTGATGTGAGTGGAAATAGACCTAAAAATCATAGAAAGGAGGTTGCTATTCACCCTGTCGTGCCTGTGCCAGCTCTGTGAAAGATATACAATTAGTCCCACTCCCCCGCTCCGTCCCCATAGCTCTGCAAAATTTTTATTTTCAGGTATCTATCCAAGTCCCAAAACCGCATCACGGGGTTATATCTGAACCTTGTCTTTTGAGCGAGTGAGTGAGTGAGTGAGTGAGCGAGTGAGCGAACATACAGACGAACATGTATACAGGTTCCATTAGCAACTCAATATACAGTAATATACACACATGTACAACAGACACGCTGGTGGGCTTTTTCGCAGAATAAACAAGAGGAAACATCTATCACGCCCACTCCCAGAAGGTTCGGTCCATCCTCATGACAATTTGAACAGGAGGGGGGGAGAGGGGAGGGGTCGCTTTAACAACAGCTTTCCCCGAGAATCCTCCATGCAAGTGTAGTACGGATCACTGCCGATAACGGACGCACAGGAGAGAGAGAGATGTTCAATCAAAAAAAAATGCCCTTTTTGCAACATTTCGTCCATGTTCGAAAGACATAAAAGATAATAATAATATTAATAATCCTGGGATTTGATACAGAGCGTTATCACATCGTTGAAGATGTCTCAAAGCGCTTCGCAGGACATACTGTTAAGCGAATCGACTGTATATTTTGTGGGGAGGAGGGAGGGAGGGAGAATGGAATATAAAAGCGATGTAATCCGCAGACTGGAATTGTCATTACAAAGTGTGTGGAGGGGGGGGGGGGGCATTAAAAAAAGGGGAATGACTGGTGTGGTGTTATTTTAAATGCTAAAACAACAATAAAATAATTCATTTTCTATTTATATGACAAAAATACAAAAACCGTTCCCCCCCCCCACCCCATTCCCTCCCCCCTCCCTCCCTCCACCGCTGTGCTTCTGATCTGTGTGTGGGGATTTTCCAGGAGGAGGAGGAGGTTCTGTGCACATCTTTTTGGGAGGTTTAAAAGCAGGGATTACGGTCTCGCGCTCTCTATGTAGAAAGAAAAAGCCTTGAGGGGGGGAGTGGGGGGACCGGAGAGCAGAGAGGGGGGAACGGGGGGGGGGAAAGGGGTGATGGGGAGGATAAGGGGTGGGGGGGAGAGGGAGCGAGGGAGAGGGGGTGTGGGGGTGTGTGTGGGAGGGAGGGAGGGAGGGGGTGTGGGGGGGGGAGGGAGGGAGGGAGGGGAGGGGGTGGGGGTGTAATAAAGTGCCCCCCCGGTGCACTCACCGCCGGTGGTGTCGGAGTCGCGGGTCTCGGGCTACATTGTTGCCGTCTCCTCCTCTTCCGCTCCGACTGTACCGCGGACTCTCCGCCGCTTTTGATACATTGGGGGATACATTGGGCCACTGCGCGGATGCGCGAAGCTTTGTGACGTCACAAAAGGGCACTCCCCCCCCTCTCCCCCCCCCCGTGTGGCTGAGGAACCCCCCCCGTGACGTCATTCCCTCTGGCAAAGGCACCACTGGGGTAGAGGGGGAACTCCCCCCCACCCCTCCCCCAGTCCCCCCTCACCCCCCGCCACTCCCCTTGTTTCCCCTCCACCCCCCCCCCCCCCACTCCCCCTGTCCCCTCCCCCCCACTCCCCCTGTTCCCCCCCACTCCCCCTGTCCCCCCCCCCACTACCCGTTCCCCCCCCCACTCCCCCTGTCCCCTCCCCCCCACTCCCCCTGTCCCCTCCCCCCACTCCCCTGTCCCCTCCCCCCACTCCCCCTGTCCCTCCCCCCCACTCCCCCTGTTCCCCCCCCACTCCCCCTGTTCCCCCCCCCACTCCCCTGTTCCCCCCCCACTGCCCCTGTTCCCCCCCCCACTCCCCCTGTTCACCCCTCACCCCCCCCCCACTCCCCCTGTTCACCCCTCACCCCCCCCACTCCCCTGTTCACCCCTCCCCCCCCCCCACTCCCCCTGTTCACCCCCCCACTACCCCTGCCCCCCCCCCCACTCCCCCTGTTCACCCCTCACCCCCCCACTCCCCTGTTCCCCCCCCCACTCCCCCTGTCCCCTCCCCCCCACTCCCCTGTTCACCCGCAGCAGTGTGTCCCCAGAGAGGTTTTTTTTTCAAACAATACATATATTTTTAGCATTTTTGTTTGAGAATACGGATTCCCCCCCCCACTCACCCCACCCCCAATTTTCACGCCTTCCGTGCGTTGCAATTACAGCTTCTTTTTCCAATCCGGGGACGGTCTCACGTCGCTTCGCCCGATTTACAGAATCGCACAGTGACTGTCGTTGTTGGTCCACTGCGATGTTGCGCCTCTCCACCCCTCCCACTCCCCCCAGGCGGCTCTGTTTGATAAGAGTAAGGTTTGGGGCAAAGAACGTGAGCATTCAGTTCCACAACTATGACCTGGAGAGAAGCACGTTCTCACTTTTCAGATGTCGGAAGACAACGGTTGGAGAATTGAACGCTCACAAATTTTGATTTAACGGTCAATTTCCACAATATCTTATCACTGAACACTTCCGACACCGTTTAATATTTTAATATATATATTTTTTCTTACATGAGCCAAGGTAACAAAAGGGCCACAAAACAATTATGCTGAGGTTACGAGTGTAATATTTAAGTCCTTTAAGAGACTGAAGGTTTCATATTGGAAAGGATGGAAGCTTCTCTAATGCACTCCAAGATATTTTGTTTTTTCCAGGTAGCTCTTTGATTCCTGATTATAATTATGCTGTAAACTTATACAATGTTCCACCCAAATATGAAAATAGATGTAATGAATGAGTCATTAACTCTCAACACAGAAATCTGCATGAAACTTCATTACACTTTACCAATAGTCAAAAAATTTTACTGGAAGATGGCATTGCAAATCATTCTCAACATCACCCACAATGAGGAAATCAACCATCTTTGCATCCACAACAAGAAGAGTATTGCATTCATCTTTATTAGAAAAATAGGGAAAAATAGAAGCTTTGCATGTCAATGTTTTTTCCTATGTTATGAAACCTGCATAAATGCCAATGCAATTTATCAACTACACTTGCACAATCCACCAGCCCCTCCAATACTGAGATAATTAATAACTGGATAGCTAAATTGCACTTAGGTATAATCCACCACCAAACAACTCCCCCCACCCCCCCCCCAACACTATGTAAACAGATAGTTTATGAACTTGAGATCTGGGTACACTGTGGCTTGTCCCTGGCATCATAAATTTTCAGGTGGCTGAAATAAAAACAAAAGACGAAAACAAATTGAGTTAATTTTGAAGTTGGGAGGATTTACATTTCGACAGTGAGAATCGTCTGGGCGTTTAATAAAAGGAGATTGGCAATAACCTTAGGACATCACGTTAGTCAGCTCACCGCATACATAAATGAAGTGTAAATCCAAATAATGTATGTACCCGCGTTATGGAAACATTTACCAAATCTTTCAGTCAATGAACAACCTTAGAGTAAAACATCACAACAAAAACACACTGCATAATTACTGCAGCGGATACAGTATTCTGACAGAACATGCACATCCGTACAGAACTCTCAATAAATCACATCTTCTCCACAATATAGCCTCCCTTGCTAACATCTACTCTATAAGGCTGCCGCAAAGGTCACTTCATATTTTCTCAAGAGTAATTTCTGAGCCCTATTCAGACACACACACAAAAAAAATCATTGCTTCAATCAAAATGTTTTCCTTTAATAAGACAAATAAGACGCCAAGACCTAAGGCAATCACAAATCTTGTAATCGACTTGGGACGGCACAGGTAGTTTATAGGTCACATCAGATCTCCCCGAGCTCTCAAAATGTCACTCGTGCTCTTCACCTCACACCCTGACCGATTTGGGAGTCTTGATTCTTTCTACAGACGTACAGTTCTACAGCTGTAGCGGGACTGTGCCCACTTGTCTATTGTTCATATGTAGGACTCAACAAGGGAGCATTATGGCACTATTCCACTGTGGTGCGGCATTAGACCCGAGCCCAGTCTGTACAGATCAGCCACGATCTTATAGAATGGTGGAACAGATTTGAGGGGCTGAACAGCCGCCTCCTGCTTCTAAAGCGGGTACTTTTCAGTGTCGAGCCACTGGAATGTGAGGAGGAATTCCCCTCCCTAACCAAATTGGGAGAAAAGCTGAGCGAGGAAAGAAAGATATAAATATAAACTTGCTTTTGCTTGACACAAAATGCACTGAAAGTTCTAACCGCAGTCACATTCCACCCTTACGCCAAACACTGAGATCAAACTGAGCGTGAAACTGATCTGTTTTGCCCGCAAAATACACAATTCACTTTACAGTATATCCTGTGAAGCGGTTTTGTTACGTCTCGAAGACATAATAACTTGCTATGTCAAATGCAAGAAATATTATTATCGTCACCCGGAAAAGAATTCTGAGCTGATTAGCTGTGACAACATTTCAGTGGAAGTGAGAGGGAGAGAATCTTCCTATTTGGAGGTGATTTAAATACTTATTTTTAAAAAAAAGTCACTTCTGAGAACGTGAATCTTTTTCACAAGTGCTCTGAGACACTACCCTGCGTGAGGGGTGCTGTATAAATGGAAGTCGTTGTTGGGGCGATGAGGTTTCCCCAATGCAAATTCTTGAAAAAGCTTAACAATAACCCAATCTGACAACCAACGTGGGCAAATTTGGATATTATATTCAATTCCAGGAAAAGAAATACACCGATTTACATTTCCTGATCTGAAATGACAAAGAGATTTCCTCTAAAGACTTGATGTTTATTCAGAACGTTCCTCGTTCTTACAGAAATACAGGAAATACTAGTTTCAAAATAGAGGTGTAAAAAAAGCAACAAAAAAAAGTACTGTACTGGGCTTAGAAAATGACAAGCAGCAATATGCAGAATTATGAACAAAATGAACACATTTAATTTAAGAGTGTTACAGTAAACCTCACATAAGTTGCATCAGTTGGGACCGTAAATTTAATATGACTTATGCAAAGTATGAGTAATGGCAAACCTGCAGAGAATGTAATAATCTTGGAACGGGACTCGGGCAGATGTACTACTTGGGCAATTTATACAGATCAGACTTATGTGAGTTCCTCTGTACTTATGAAACCACAATAATAGCATTAGGGTCACATAGCACTAACAAAGTTATGCTTTTAAAAGTAACCCCATATTTTGAGAGGCAAAGAAATAGGAAGTAAACTGACAACAGCAAATTCAAGGGCGTAAAAGCAGTAAAGTAAGCTCGACAGATCAGAATGGTGACAGGATCAGGAAGAGCGTGGAATAGGAGAAAGAAAGCACATAAAATGGACCCGAGCCAGGTGGTCAAAAAAAAAGCAATCTGCCAATCGACTAACAACCGAGTTCCTACTAGACGTGGGTATGGAGTAAGGAAACCCGCCTAAGGTTTTGCCTTAGCGTTTTAAGTTCAGTATTTTAACGTAATGTCCCACCCAGGCCTCTGACCACCATTGCTATGGAAAAGTTGAGGGGAAGAAACAGGAATCTTAAGAGAGATTTAGAGTTTGAGGGAGAATTAGAAAGAGATAGAGACTAAAATAAAATCCAACACCATTAACAATCAAAGTCTTTGAAGGCAGGATGGGAGAGGGAGCTCCAAGATGTTCCAGTGAGGATGGATAAGGAGGACATCTCGCTCAGAACAGACCAATCCTCCAATTCTCAGCTAAACGTAATCAAATAGAAAAATAATTCACTAATTCTGTTACGTTTTGAGTCAGTCAGAGATAAAATATTTGACCAATAAGCTACTACCTACCATGAAAGAGACACCAATTGCTGTTACCACCTTATGGCTTGAGCTCTATCCCAGAGCAAGACCTCTGTGAGAGGATTTACAAATCTCCTTCCCCCCTCCAATAATCCCCAATGTTTCAGGCAAACTCTCAACCTACACTGGATTTTAATTCTGATAATAATTATCCTTGCATTTGATACAGCGCCTTATCACATGGTTTGAGACGTCTCAAAGAGCTTCATAGGATATACCGTATAGTGAATTGACTGTGTATTCTGTGAGCAAATGCTGGAAATTGGAAGGGAATTCACAACAGATCCATCAGGCAATGAACAAGAAAACTGTGATGCTTCACCCGAGCAGAATTATTAACCAACTTGTCTTTCATGTTCAGATAACGATTGTTTGCTGTGGTTTCCTATCATTTCTCTATTTTTTACTGTGAGACGTACTATACAACCTTGAAGCCAAGGATCGCCAAATGGTTAGACAGTTGATTTCTCACATTCATTTACAGTCTGAAGGGAAAAAAGTTTTCAGATTTGAACCATTGACACATCAGAGGTAACATCAATCATAGGAGGACCCGTTTGTGAGCAACAGGTTTTCTTAACATAGCGACAGACCGGACTGAACTTCAGGGCACTTACAGAAACCCAGACCGATTGACAACGGTTGCCAAATTTCTAATCTGTAGCAGTTCTTTGAGGAAAGATATGCAAACAGAACAAGTTTTCCGGGCCTTTTGAATCTCAGTAAATCTCACATAAGTCGTATCAGTTGGGATCATACATTTCAGATAATTTATGCAAAGTAGGAGCATAACAACAACATGGACTTATTTCGTGCCCTCCACACAGGGTAGTGTCTCAGAGCGCTTAAATAATTATACTATTAAATAATAGTATAGTATAAATAATAGGAAATAATTCAAAGGGACTTGAGCAGATGGAGTCCTGTAGCTCAGTGGTTAGAGCACTCGCTTTGCAAGTGAGAGACCTGAGTTCAATTCCAGGCAGAGGGTGAAACCTTGGGCAAGTTTCCTTACTCCACACAGAGCCTAATAATAATCCCTCTAAAATAAAACAATAATAAATTGGTCATTTTCAATCTACGACTGTTTATGGGACATTGCTGTGCGCAATTGGCTGCCGCGTTCGCCCACAAATGTACAGTCAAGTCACTTTACAGTGTGTTCTGTGAAGCACTTTGGGACGTCCTCCCGACGTGAAAAGCACTATATCAAATGCAAGGATTATTATTATTATGTATGACTGAGGCTATTATAAGATTTATACAGATAGGACTTATGTGAGTTTCACTTTGGAACAACTGTCTTTGAGTTACCAATGCCCAAAGTAAGTCCTGTTCATTCATTATTTGACAGCCTGCCTAACATTACAGACTGGTGGGCCAATAGGAGACACAGAAACATCATTGGGATCAGATCAGACAAACATAACCAGGTCCTTACATGTGACTTCGCTGAAGGCTGCTAGAATGTTAGTGAAAACAACATCCGGAGACTGAGATGCATCGACTGCGGTGTGGAGCCCTTTGTTCTGGTAATAGGCGATCAGAGGGGAGGTCATGGTGTGGTAAGCCACCAGCCGAGACTTCAACGTTTCCTCATTGTCATCTGAGCGTTTCATCAGGGGTTCGCCGGTCACCTGAACCCGGCGACAGACAAAGTTAATATAACTGTGCGGTGTGAAGCCAAGTGCAGCCATCGTGCCGTTTAGAGACTTACAATAATGGCAAAGCAATGAACTGAGCCCATCCCTATCCCAAACGGCTGGTCAACCAAGTAATTGCACTTGACCCTGTTAGAAGGTTTAGAGTTCCAAAGAGCAATTTCAGGAAGATACCACGAGGTATTTACTTTAACCAGAGGATAACTACCGATAGGAACAGGTTAGCAGGAAGGTTGAGGCTGGGACGCTGCACTAGTTAAAAAAAAAACACAACAGCTTGATGCTGAGTGGGAGATCGGCACTTTGGGTGTTCTGGAAAGATGAGATTAAATAGCCAAAGAACCTTCTTCATCCAAACCTCTCTTATTGAAGGAGTCAGAATGAATGCTTTGTGACTTAACATTGGTTTTACTAGTTTGATTAATTCCCAACAAAAAATTTCCACCCTACAAATTCCTGGATGCTTAGAAGAAATGTTACTAGTTGGGCAGCTCTTCCAAAGAGCCGGTACAGGCACGATGGGCCGAATGGTTTCCCTCGGTGCTGTAGGATTCTATGAACTGTCTATAATGTTAACTACATGAGGAACGCGCAGCACTGATGAGAATGCAACAATTCTCGATACGTACGTCATCTTTCATCGGCACTTTGGGCGGGTTGAATAGTTTGTGGTAGGATCGGCCGCTGGGTTGGTGGATCAGCCTGTGAAGAAGCAAACGCTGTTACAACAGTATTGTGGAACTCCATCCCAGTCCCTCTGCCTCGCTCCCTCCCTCCCTTGCCTCCTTCAAGGCCCATCGCAAGCCCCTCCTCTTCGATCGCGCTTTCAGTCACCCTCCTACCCCCACCCTTCCTGAACCCAACCCCCAGCTCGGGTCCAAACCCCCGACTGTCCAGTGCCTTGGGACGTCCTCCCGGTGTGAAAAGCGCCGTGTAAATGGCATTTGATGTTGTTGTACTTGCCTCATATTGTCCTGGAAGTCTAAGCAACGCATCTCAGAATTGACCTTTCATTCGAATCCATGTTTCACGTGACCTGGTAAAGGGTAACTTGCCATATGTAATACAAAACGATAAGGTACCTGCCACAGATCCTTTGCACCAGCAAGTTATCATCAACATTAAACTCAATCACCGAGTCCAGCTTCTCAGAACGCTTTTTCATCAGCTCATCGAACTGTGACGAGAGAAGCAAAGAGGAAAAGGTTACGTTGTCTGTTTGGCAAAGTTACTTGCGGGTGAAACCTTAGGCAAACTTTTACATGCAGCAGAACGACAGAGTTAATTAAGGCAGTGTCTTATTCTCAGTTCAACAAAACCCTTATTCTCTCCCATTGAAGGGCAGAGGGAGATAAACAAGTTGACAACTCTTTGTCCTCTACAAAGCTTACACCTCACCCAAATTGCCATCAATCATGTACAAGTCCTGTAGCTCAGTGGTTAGAGCACTCGCTTTGCAAGTGAGAGACCCGAGTTCAATTCCAGGCAGAGGGCCAAACCTCGGGCAAGTTTCCTTACTCCACACAGAGCCTAATAATAATCCCTCCAAAACCAAAACAATAATAAATTGGTCATTTTCAATCTACGACTGTTTGTGGGACATTGCTGTGCGCAATTGGCTGCCGCGTTCGCCCACAAATATACAGTCAATTCACTTTACAGTGTGTTCTGTGAAGCGCTTTGGGACGTCCTCCCGACGTGAAAAGCGCTATATCAAATGCAAGGATTATTATTATTATTATTATTATTATTATTATTATAAGGCTTCTGGTTGCGCATTACCAGGATATTGAACCACAGAGGAGAGCCCGATTGTGTTCTCACACAACATTCACACCCCCGTCGGTTAGCAACGAGGAACAGAATCCTTGGCTGATATTACCTGGGATGTTAATAATAATAATCCTTGCATTTGATACAGCGCCTTATCACGTCATTGCGACGTTTCAAAGCGCTTCATAGGGATATACCGTAAAGTGTAGCGACTGTGTATTTTGGGGGTGAAACATCCAATAGAGGCTTAACCGCTGGTATCTCCGTGGCTGAGATGACCGATTGACAAAAAGGAATTAAATCAGCTGACTCAGCACATAGCGAGGTGATCAAGTCAGGGACCCACGGTGTGTTAATCTCAGCATCGCTCCTCATTTAGCGTACACCACATGAAGCACCCCTGGAAACAGGAAGCATCCGACGGCGGAGAAATACTGGCCCTCACCCAAAAAAAACACACACAAGAAGAGCTCAAACCATAACGTTGCCACATCGCTGGATCCTTTGCAAAACTGACAAGTCACAACAGGGAAATATGACTCAGTGTTAGGGCGTAGCTAAAGATAATCACTCATACCACATTCTGAACCGGCCAGCTAAAACCTACCTGCCTTCACTGCCTGTAGTTGCTGACTCTACACGGTGCTGGGTTTCTGCTGTTGGAAGGGGAGCGAGCTCTCCATGATACGGCAAGCACCACACCCGCCACATCGTGTACACGGGGAGCACTGCAGGACATTTATCACTGGCGGGCGGGTGGGTCGGTAACCCGAGGACACCGATTTAAAATAGCCGGAGGGCAAGTGAGGAGAAATGTCTCCATACCGCGAGTTGTTGGGAGCTGCAATGCGTTGCCTGAAAGGCCGGTGGAAGCCGATTCTACAACAACTTTTAAAAAGCGAAGTAGATAATTATTTAGGGAGGACAAGTTTGCAGGTCTATGGGGAGAGAGGGGTTGATCAGGGCTATAGGGGGAGAGGGGTTGATCAGGGCTATGGGGGGAGAGCGGGGGAGAGGGATTGATCAGGGCGATGGGGAGAGAGCGGGGGAGTGGGATTGATCAGGGCTATGGGGAGAGAGCGGGGGAGTGGGGTTGATCAGGGCTATGGGGAGAGAGCGGGGGAGTGGGCTTGATCAGGGCTATGGGGAGAGAGCAGGGGAGTGGGGTTGATCAGGGCTATGGGGGAGAGGGGGGAGTGGGGTTGATCAGGGCTATGAGGGGGGAGTGGGGGAGTGGGGTTGATCAGGGCTATGGGGAGAGAGCGGGGGAGTGGGCTTGATCAGGGCTGTGGGGAGAGAGGGGGGAGTGGGTTGATTTGGAAGCTCTTTTCAAAGAGCCGTCACAGACACGATGGGCCGAATGACCTCCTTCTGTGCTGTATAATTCTATGACTGATCCGCAATGTTCTCTGTTGGCCTTTTTTTCCTCCTCTCCTCCCGAGGTCACCAACCCTTCCTCTACTACAAGCACCGGAAACACCAATCAAGAACATGTATTTTGTTGGACGACCATAAAAGTTGGCCACCACTGCTCTATATCAACCTTGAAGTCCATTTACGCCTGCACTTAGAGGTGGTAATTCTGCTACAATCTCGTCTTGCTCTGCCATATGTTTGGGCCAGCAAGCCCCAACGTACCCTCTCTGCCTGCTTCACGGTGCGTGGGAATCCATCCAACAGGAATCCATTCTTGCAGGGTGGAGTGTCGAGGTTATTGTCAATCAGCTCCACAACCATTTCATCACTCACCTAAAGGCAGACACATTAAAGTTGACATTAAAACAATTTCAGAGAGACACTTACCGAAAAGATAAAGCCAGTCTTTCACTTCATATTAAAACACCATATTTCCCCGTAAAGCTCTGCAAGACACCGTCTATGGGGCTAATAGATGCAAGTTGTTGTAACAAGTTTTCGGGCTTTAAGTATAAAAATACAAGAAGTTTATTACAGGGGCAAATAAGATTTTTTAATATTTATATACTCCGCCAAATTCTGGACAGAGTGGAACTGGAGTCTCTTAATTAAGCAAGCGAGTATCAGACGTGCCCGACTGACTAAAAATAAATCACAGATTATGTGTTGCTTGTGCAGCGTAGTGCCAGGAGGTGGAAACCTCCACACTGTTCCCGAAGCTCACACAACAGCACACGGCACTTACCAACTTCCCAGCGTTCATGGTTTCGCTCAGTCGCTTCCCCAGTGGCGATCCAGAAGCCACCATGGATCTCAGCATGTCACCCGTCGCTAAGTGACAGACGGAGTAATGGTCAGCTAGCCTCTTGGCCTAAAATAAAACCAACAAAGAACAGAGAAATCAGCAAATACAGTGTATAATTAGGTACTGTTGAACACTGCAGACCTTCAACACAAAAACAGAAGTGGCCGTTATGGGGAGAGAGTGGGGTTGATCAGGGCTATGGGGAGAGCGCGGGGGGAGTGGGTTGATTCAGAAGCTCTTTTCAAAGAGCTGGCACAGACACGATGGGCGGAATGGCCTCCTTCTGTGCGATATAATTCTACGATTCCCACCTTTGCTCCGTATCCCTCGATACACTGACCTAATTAAAATTCCAACATTGCAATTGAGTCACCACTTCAAAGTCTCCATTTTACAGCTTGAACATACAGTGTTGTTATACCTTCCAAAGGGGGTCATTAAAGAGGGCCCAGTAGTGGTTACTGGGGCTGACTTCCCTCTCCCTGACCATAGGGTTTCTGAGGTGAACCACGGAGAGTACCCTGGATCTCCCACGAAATCAACCCTGACAAAAACTAAGTTGGGAAATGAAGACCTGAAATGCTTCATCTCCGAGAGGAATTACAAACAGAAACGAGGTTTAAAATCAATATTTTTTTGAAGGGGAGAAAAAGATTGCAAAGTTCACCCACAAATATACTGTTTTCAGCAATAATAATAAGAATAATCCTCGCATTTGATATAGCGCTTTTCACGTCAGGAGGACGTCCCAAAGCGCTTCACGGAACACACTGTAAAGTGAATTGACTGTATATTTGTGGGCGAACGCGGCAGCCAATTGCGCACAGCAATGTCCCACAAACAGTCGTGGATTGAAAATGACCAATTTATTATTGTTTTGGGTTTTGGAGGGATTATTATTAGGTGTGGTACTCACAGCTTCCATGCATTGAACTACAGTGAACTCTACAGACATAAAGTGCATGAATATCAAGTTATAACTTTTAGCCTTTAAAAGTCAAACAGTGCTACAATTGAGCTTTTCCCAGATGTGAAGTGGTATGAGCAGATTTCCATAGAGGACTTGCTGGACATACAAAATAATGCAGTGATCGTTATGAAATGTATTGCAGACATTGATGTATAATGTAAAGATGGACCAAGAACAAACAATTCCTGCACGGATTTGTCCACTTTAACCAATATAGACAAAAACACAACTGAGAACTTCAGATATGTTTGGCAGTGTACCTCAATACACGATCAAACGGGCAGTAAAACCGAAAGATGCTATTCAGCCATTATGGGCTCAGTGCTGGTAAAACTTGTTAAAAAGCACATTTTCTTTGACAAGGAGCCAAAGTACCGCTGAAGCATTTGGAGATGTTTTGACCCATTGTCAAAAACAACAAGAACATGATTGCATTTATAGAGCGCCTTTCACGTCGGGAGGACGTCCCAAGGCGCTGGACAGTTGGGTCGGGACCCGAGCAGTGGGGAAATGCTCAGGGTGAGGGGAGGGAAGGGAGGGAGCGAGGGGGTAGAGAGTCGAAAGGGGAGCTGAAGACATGGTTGAAGAGAAAGGTCTTGGAAGGAGGAAAGGGAGGAAGCGGCGAAGGCACTGGGGGGGATGGAGTTCCAGAGCCTGGGGGCTGAGAGGCTGAAGGCCCGGCCACCGATGGGGGCTTCAGTCGGGCAATGTAACATCTTAAGAAAAGCAAATGGGGAAGAGGCAGTGGGTAAAACCCGAAGCGTAATGTAATATAATATAATATAATACACAATAAGCCATTAGCGGTTATAATCAGTTTCCAGTGCCACCGCCTGAACTCTCAACTTGAACTACATTTAACTGCTGCACCTGAAATAAAAACCTTTCACTGAAACTCCACCCAATCCCTCCCAGAACCACAACCGACAGAGGGTGGAAATGAACAGAACGCCTTCACAGATTGTTTTAGGGGCAAAAGAGTTTAGGAGGCGAGTGAATAGGAAGAGAGGAGAGAGGGGGAGAGGGGGATAGGAGGGGAGAGGGGGGGGGAGAGGAGGGGCGTGAGAGGGAGGGGGGGTAGAGAGGGGAGAGGAGGGGTGAGAGAGGTGGGGGGAGAGAGGGAAGAGAGGGGAGGAGGGGGGGGAGGAGAGAGGGGAGAGGGGGAGGGAGAGGAGTGAGAGGGGGGAGGGGGGGG